GTGGCTTCTAAATTGTTTCAAAAAACAAAAGAAAGAAAAATGAATTAGTTAGAGATATATGAAAGAAACTACCATAAGAGAGAGGAAAAATTTTACATTATTAAATTCTTTTTTTAAAAGAAATGCCATCCATTGGAACTGACCGGGAATTGACCCGGCATGGTTCGCACCCTAAGCGAGAATCATGCCACTAGACCATCAGGCCAACTATTTTCTTTCAATTTTCATTATAATCTGGGCAAGAAGGTCCGGAAAGTTTTAGTAATAAAGATYTCTTATAAATTGAAAATGCAAATGCAGCCATACTACTGGAAAAGAAAAAATCTGACTTTGAACGGGATTCGAACCCTCGAGCTTACTTTGGGATAACGGTGCGATGCTCTACCGATGAGCTATCAAAGTAGTATGGCTGCATTTGCATTTTCAATTTATTCTCCAACTACTGACGGACACACATTTCTAAAGATCTCTTATAAATCATCTTACTAATAGAAGACTTACGTAATCCTCCTCCTTGTCGCTCTGGAAGAACTCGTACAACATGTTTTCCCAATCGTGACGTCGCTTTATCAGTCGCTTCGGTTTTCCAGTACACATGAAGCATATCCATTTGGGCTGCGAAATTATCTAAAAACGTCATGAAAATATAAAAAGATTCTCAACAAAATGCATGCGCAGAAAAATTAATTATGCACTTTCACWAAAACAAATCAAAATACGCTTTGTTTTGTGTATAAGGCGTTGCGTCAAACGTGGAACCGTTACGCACGCCTCAAACGGTGAGGACGATTTCACTCGAGAGCTCTTTTACCTGCGCGTCGCCAGGCAAGAAACGTAATATATACACGAGCTCGTGACTCGCACACAGACGTATTTTGCTTCACGAGTCAGAAAGAAAAGTCAAGTGGAATGGTTACGGGATTCCACGTTGTACCCAGCATTAATTCTTCAATGTATTTTTATAAGTTTTTTTGTTTTTTTGATCTCAAATGCATCAGTCAAAGACGACGCACGTCAGATTGACATGAAATATTTCAAACAATCAACCGTTCAATATACCGCGTTTACTGTCCCTTGACCAGCCAGCATGTCAACACATAGACCGCAGTATGATCTGAAATAGTAATGTACACAATTACTGAGCAAGGACACGGATTTAATTCATGGAGAGAGACGCA